TGTTAATGTTTAATTTTTCTTAATCTCTAAAACATTAATACGATAATGTTATTCCAATTAATTATAGATAGTTCTGGAAGCTATTTTTTTTTTCATTTCGTCACTTTTTAATTAAATGCAACTATAAAAATATCTCAATATATAAATTAAATAATAATTTTACTCAAAAAATCGTGATCCATGAAAATGAGCATAAACAACGATCTTTGAAAGTGTTATTTGGCAACTAGAACTAAAAAAATATTCCACTAGTTTAGAGTATAATTTTCGGAAAGTTACTGTGTTGTAGCCCACGATACAACGTAACGATCTCGCTCGTAAGCGTTATTGCATTACAATGGAAAAGTTCTTAATTTTTAGGACAAATCGGCCCCTATGTAGACCGGTGGGTTCGGCCAGAGTTATGCAAAACATCATACGTAGGGCTGTAGAAACAATGTTATTATTACAATATATGTAATCATAACTTTTTTTTTATTTAACGCGTCAAGGTTATATATACATACATATGCTAGAATTAGTTAAAATTTGTAATTTTAATTTTCGAGATACTTGATACATGCAATTGTAATGTTAAAAATATAGTGTTTGTTCTAAAATTTTTTTATGAATTATTTGAGCAAAAAATCGTTATTCAATTTTAGGTGGTTATTTAGTTTCGAATGCTCTTTATGGCTTTTAGATTTTATAAAGGTGTTTCAGCAATTGTGGCATTAAAAAGAGTTTAACGATTTATTAGTTCACTTTTTACAAAACCTAAAAAAACAAGGATGTTAAAAATTGTGTGAAACCCTTCTTATATTCTGTCAGCCCTGTGTATTCAAAGATGCAAACCATGAAGTAGTTTTCCATAAGCCAAACGTGTTAGTGAAAGCCATAGAAAATCGAATTATTCACGCTTTGTGTCATAATTCAGTGATTTAATTACCATAGAGGTCAACATACTTACAATTTCCAAATAGCTTACGAATACGAAGACAATATAATTTCCTGCCATATAATTAATATCTTTCATACAGGATGTCTAGGCCTAGGACAAGAGGCTTAGTCACCACTTACTTAAGGTACACTCCGAGACCCTCAGTGGTATAGTGAGCTGGTGGTGATGATACAGAATGTCCGAAAATGACCTGTATCAAGAACTAACGAACTAAATAATATTTGGTCATTACTTTGACTAACCAAAGTTACCTCTCAGTTTGTTCAAAGCTATTTTAAGAGCTAAAGAGCTTCAAAGATTAAAATGTATTTTCTAAACAAATTAAAATAAATTAATCTAGACACTTAGTTCTGAATGTATTACATATTTTTCTTAAAACATCCTTAGTATCGATGTGTAATGCTGGTAACATACAATTCTATAAACTACAGGCAAGAGATTGCGTTTAGTCACGGAATGCAAACCGGTGGACCTTTTTTGGAATTTTACCGTCATGTGTATTTATTTCTACATTTATGTGTTTTTATTTTTAATGACATCCAGACAATAAAATAACTAATCAAGATATATTACAAGCATACCAGTTATATTAAGTAACTAGCTGTTTGCGTGCGGTTTTATCCGCATAAAATTATAATTTTATTGTTTGCATTTGTCAAATTCTCTATTGCAAATGTCAAAATACCAATAACCTTACTATGGCAATATTGCATCTTGATGTTGGCAGCTCGTATCGTATGGTCTCTTTCCCACATTAGGGTTTTATCAAAATATTTACCCCCTTGTTTAATGGCGTGAAAATATATATCCTAAAGCCTGACGTAAGTGTAAGCCTTTTTATTAAAAAAATAATTTTTCAAAAATATGCTGTAATTGCTGATATCTTAGGCAACAAAGAAATGTGTGTTTACGCTTTATTATAATAAGTATAGATTTGCTTGTTTTCCTTAATAATGTAAAAGTTGAATGGTAGTCGATTGATTTCATTAGATCATTAAAACAAATATAAAATCCACTTATAAAATACCTTACGTATTACTATATGTATATGATTTCGTAAACATACATCATTACAATAAACTAATACAATAAAAGACGTAAGAAATTATCGCCAAACTATAAACAAATTAAACTAATACTACTAACTAATAAACAAATCTTGTTTGACTTCTTTTCTAGAAGGCTCAATTTTCATTTGTAGACTAGTTAGAAAAGTTTACACAAACCTCATTACGGTAATGTATCTAATTACTAGGTATAAGTTTTTTTTGTGTTTTTAATAAAAAGCGAAGTTAGAAAACAACATACATCAACTTTATAATTACATTCCCTACTCGTACAATGTAAACTAAAATTGACCATCCGTTAAATTACATCGAACAAGGTACACAAAAAGTAATACAAATTGGGCAGACTGTAATTAACAGATTAATAACATTTATTTATGTATCCGAACACGAATATTAAACACTAGCTGTTGCTCGCGACTTCGTCGGCATGAAATTTAAAAATATCCTATACTAGCTTTCGCCTGCGACTCCGTCCGCTTGGGATTTAAAAATACAAAAAGTGTAGCCTATGTGTTGTTCTACATCTATACCAAATTTCATTGAAATCGGTTCAGCCTTTTAGGCTACAAACTCTAATAAACATCCATCCATCTTAACTTTTGCATTTATAATATTAGTAAGATTACTCTCTGATAACGTAGCTTTTAATGAGGAAATAATTTTTGATATCGGCCCAGTAGTTTTTGTGTTATTGTAGTAAATAAAAAAGTACAAAAATACAAACCTTTCCTCTTTACAATATTAGTATAGAACACCAGAAAGTAATCAACAATTTATTAGTTAATGGAACAAAAATAATCCCTTTCTATAAAACTCTCGAATTTAGTTTTAAATGTTATTTCAATATAGTTGATGCTTTTTCTTTAATAAACTGTGACGTTATTTATATCCAATTTTTTTTTTATCGTTGGAATAGTGTTAACTAATATGCAAACAGTTGGGAATTAGTTATTATCAATATATCGCTTTAAACACATTAGAATGTTTGAAATTTCATTGCTAGCGATCACATTTACGGAATTAAAAAAAAATGTAGTACCATTATTATTACAGATAATATTGATAAAAATTGTAAAGTAAATAGTGTACGTAAAATTAAGCTAAAAAATTTCCTTTACATTTATATTACGGAGAGCAAAGGTTTAGAATATAAAGCCTTAAAATTATTTTTCTATATAATCGAAACTAACTGAAACTGACATTTAAAACATAATCTACATAATACAGCTTTTATGTTTTCTTGAATTTTGACAACCCTAAGCGTGTTTGGACTTTGCGTATAGTTTCCTCGATAAAATATAAATCATATTGCCTTTCACTTGTCAAATTGTTGTTCTATAGAACATTCAAGAGATGATGTTTTCTGTATTCATATACTCAAATAAATATTTAGTAAGTGAGAGTTCGTTGCAGAATTTGGAATATTACATAGGCATTTTCCATTAATAAAAATGTCTAAGTTACAATTTCATTATCATATCCGTTTTCGTAACTTTAACTTTTAAAATACGTAACAGCCCAGATTAAGTTATCGTTAAGAATGTTCGGGAAATTTCCATTGCCAAGTTCGGCGGTTTTTATAAAAATAACATTTTACGACTTTATATTGACCAAATGTGAATATTCCGTTTTACAACTTGTTTACTTTCTCGCATAAACATTTTAATATTAAATAGAATCTGTTTAGTTATATAAAAACGTATTGATTTAATTTAACTCAAGGATTTTTTTTGTAATTATATTTTCACTCAACGCAAATAAATACATCCAAAGGAGTATAACAAACGTAGATTATATTTGTGCTTAAAATCCTCTTAAGGTATTTAATCCTTTTGGTACTCGGCAATCTAGCAATTAGTTCGATTTCATGCAACTTTCAAGCAAAACATGTTTCATTACTTAAGTTAACTGACACTCATAATATTCTAATTGCGTTTTTTTGCGTCTGAAGTTGACTGCTTCGACAAAAGAATTATGTGACCGAGTTCTCCTCGTCAATGCCACGTCTCCAATACATTGTAGAACATTATGAAGAACACTATATTAAATGCGATGACTTTTGCCGCTAATCAAGCCTCCTATACACTACAGACGCTCAGTTCCAACTGACAGTTTTAATTCAAGCTTTATCTTCACACGCACAAGTTAAACTGTTCAGTTAGGGCTGAGCATATGTAGCTGGCTTCACACTATGTATATTATTTTGAATTTATTGATTTTAAAATAAAATTTATACGGTATGTTCGTAGCTCATAAACAGCTGAACTACGACTTTTGCTTAAAACTAAAAATTGAACATTCAATCATTACGATAAAAAGCTGCTTGGTCATGTCCTACTTTTTATTTTAGTTGTCCATTAAAGCATGCATTTACGATTTTGAGTTAGTTTAATGACTTTGCAAATTTATGCATGTTAAAGTTTGCTTGGTCATCTTTAACAACGATTTTAAACACGATTAGGGGCAAAGATTTACAATCCAGTTTGCCAGACTCAAACCGCGTCGTACGAACGAAATCAATTTTAACATATATTACTATAAAAGCACGAATCCGGATTTGCTGGATAACAATACACAAAAGTCAACTCGTTTATATATTTCATACTGGCTTTCGTCCGCGACTTCGTCTACGCCGTATTAAAAAAAGTAAAGTTTATCTGCCACACTAATCCTCTATATCTTTGCCAAATTTATTCGAGTTTCTTTCTAAATTTTAGGTTACAAACTCGAACAAACATCCATCCATCGATCTAAACTTTCGCATTTGTAATATTAGTAAGATTAAACACCGCATTACACGGTCGGAATCAAATTTCGAGCCAAAAATGTTTCAATAATAAATAACAATAAATAAGAATGGTTGCTAGAGTGTTGATGACGTCTAATATCAATGTGTTATCAAAGGATCGACGTATGTTTAAACTAAAATGAACTTAAAACGCTGCCTAAACTTAGTAAGGCTCTAAATATTTAGTAACTTAACATTACAGAAATGGCGGCTTCAGTTCGAGAGTTTTACAAAGAAAAAAATGTGCTGGTTACTGGCGGTACGGGATTTATGGGGAAAGTCCTCATTGAGAAGCTTTTGTACTCGATACCTGATATTGGTCATGTGTACGTTTTGATGAGGCCAAAACGTGGAAAGTCTATTAAACAACGTTTGGAGGAAATGTTTCGATTACCAGTAAGTCAATTGACTAATTTATATAAGTACAATTACTTTACAAAATCTACTGTTCAGCTTTGTTTTTATACCAGTTACCACACTTTAACAAAAAAAGTAAATTTACTGAGATATCTGAATTATTACAGATCTTAGATTTATATCTCGGGGTTTCACCTGTTGCGTAGTTTAATTTTTACTCGGTTTCCAAAGAGTAAATAAGATTGCTAGATCAATAACTTTTTACCAATGATTATCGTGAGACATTAAACCATGACGTTTTGCTACCACAGCAATTTTTTTTCATCGCAAATGTTTGTGTTGATATGTATAAATGCGTATCTTAACTAATATCTATTTTCAGGAATTTGGCTGGAAAAACAATACTGTAATATAAAAATACAAAAGCTTACATTATTACAAATTAAATGTTAATTTCCACTTTACATCTTTCTATAATCATTGCTTGCAATTTTTACATAATTATTTTTTTCTTCCTTTTTTAACACTATTGACTTCGGGGTTTTCACTTCAAAGTAAGTTATTTTACTATTTTATGAGATTACATTGACGGCAGGGCGTAACCGGTGATTATATTATTTAAATAAACCTTTAAAAATTGGTCAATGGAAATAAAATATGGCGGATAAATATAGTGTCACCAGCCAATATAATTATTACGGCGTTATGACCGTATTTAAAATAAAAGACAAAGTAGGAAGGTGATCCTTTGATAGAATATGTAGATCTTGTTAAATAACGGTTTATATTTAAAATAATCTTTTTCTGTGTTATTATTATACGTGTATATGTATAAATTATTCCGTTTCAGTTATTCGACAGAATCAGAAAAGAACGACCAGCTATTTTTAAAAAGGTTAAACCCTTACAAGGCGATGTCCTGTTCGATAACTTTGGTTTATCGGATACCGATATTGACAACTTGTCTAAGCAGATATCTGTACTGTTCCATTTCGCGGCTACATTAAAATTGGAAGCACCTCTGAAGGACAATGTCGACATGAATACGTGCGGAACTCTGCGGACCGTGAACATTGCTAAAAGACTTAAAAACCTTCTAGCCTTCATCCATCTTTCGACTGCATTTTGCTATCCGGATTACAAAATTTTAGATGAGAAGGTAAATCTACATAAGTAATTACTTAGTAAACAGTAATAATGCATTTTAAATCTACATAACTAATTTCTTAGTAAACGGTAATAATGCATGTCGAAATCTGTTTCGATTGTGCACGTAATGTTTTTAAATAAACTTTATTTAAACTAACAACGTTAGTTCTGACTAACAGTTTAAGTTGTTGGAAAATATTACCTTATGTATTTTAGATGCATGCACCTCCAGTAAAACCAGAAGATGTAATGAGACTGATCGAATGGATGGACGACAAACAGCTGTCCTTAATCGCACCGTCGTTATTGGGCCCGCATCCCAATAGTTACACTTTCTCCAAACGACTTGCTGAGAATATTATCGAACAAGCATTTGAAGACCTTCCTACTACTATAGTGCGGCCGAGCATAGGTAAGATTGTTATCATCTATTGCGTGTAGTAATGGTTGTCAGATCAGAAAATATTAGTGTACCAAGATTTTTAGGCCTCAAGAGTGGGTAATGCTTTTACTTTCTATTATTAGAAACGTACTTGCATGCCACCTGGGAAGTTAAGAAACAAAGCCATGTAGTAGTATAAAGTGGTTTTGTGTTTAATCACTAAAATTCCCATATTGTTCTAGTGTGCCCAGCGTTATCAGAGCCGATAGCTGGCTGGGTGGACAGTCTGAATGGTCCAGTGGGCGTAATGCTCGGCGCTGGGAAAGGGGTTATCCGTAGCATGCTCTGCGATGGGAGTCTAACTGCTCAAGTCATACCAGTCGATACCGCTATCAATGCTATCATCGCCATTGGAATGTTAGAAGGAACGAGGACTGAAAAGTAAGTGTTTTCAAGCTGATTGTAATATGTTTTTGAGTAAAATCAAAGCGCCCATATCGACCTACTCTTATACTCAAACGATTTCAGGCCTCCTGTTATCCCTATTTACAACGCCAATATTGGACATCAAAAACCTACAACCTGGGGCGAGGTCTTACAGATCGGTAAGGACTACGGTCGAAAATATCCACTGGCCTGGCCGCTATGGTATCCTAATGGAGACATCACAACCAACGAGACTTTGCATTATTTCCGTCGTATATTTTACCATTTGGTGCCAGCATACACCATCGACTTTCTTTTATTGCTACTTGGACAAAAACGCTTGTGAGTAATCTTTCTGGTTCCAATATACTGTATTCCTTGCTACATTAATACTGTTATTGTTGTGTAATTACTAATAACTACTTAATTTGAATTTTTTTATTACCGCAAAGTAATATCGATTAAACACTATGTATATTAATGGATGTAGGCCGATGAGCTGGATAAGTGTAGATCTATTTTTCGATGCTCTACTCCCCTGTCCTTCCCTGTCGACGCTCATGTCGCTAAGATAGTTTCGTTCCGAAATCTATTTGCTTTGTTACAGCATGGTGAGAATACAGAATCGTATTAGCCAGGGACTTGAAGTACTGCAATACTTTACTATGAGACCCTGGATATTTCCATGCCAGAACTTTGATAATATACAAGCAATATTAGAAGGAGAGGAACGTAAGATCTTTAACATGGATCTAACTGCTTCGGATCGCGTGAAATACCTGGAAGATTGCGTTGAAGGCGGTCGTATCTTCTGCTTTAAGGAAGACCCTAATAAAGTCCCATATAATAGGTCTTATCATAACTTGTAAGTACAGTAAAGAAATTATGTATATTAATGTTGACTTCATCACATCTACCCTAGGTAGTACCACAGATACTAGCAAAAAAATAATCAACTCGTTTTTTTTTCAGCCTTTACGTGCTCGATTGGATAGTGAAAATCATGTTTTGGTTGTTTATTCTGTCACTGTTAGCTTCGTGGTTCGAGCCTGTAAGAGATTTGTTTTCGATCGGTGAACCATTTGTGAAGCATCTACCGTTTTTAGGTCCGGCTGTCTTTGATAAAACAATATAAAACGCATTATCAATGAATTATATCTTGAAAAATATTATGAAAACATAGCAATCGATAGATAAATCGTGTTAACCGGACGCATGTTTATAATTGTGGAGTACTGATTAAGAAATTTGTTTAACATTGATTATGTAATGGTTATTTGAACAGTTACATGCATTTTATATAAAGAAAAACATTTGATAACCATTCATTTTGAACGTATTTTTAACTAGATATTTTTGTATTTACTATCTCGCTGGTTGGATTGAAAACATTAACTTGCTAATATTATAAATGCGAAAGTCTATATTGTTGTTTTATTAACAATTTGGATACTTTTAATGTATTTTAATGAAATGTGTCAGAGATGTATTAATATATGGGACAGTGAGGCTACTTACCTTTTTTATTTTTTTTTTAATTCTGACCAAATATGTTGGGGTCGATATTTAATAGACTTTTAAATATACTTATTATGGGAAGTGGTGTTATTTTTCACAGTATTTTTTTGTATCTAGGTATAAAAGAAAATAACATTTTTTTATATAAAAAGAAAAGTATAAATACTGACAAGTTAATGTAATGGGTTTAGAAATAAGTTGTATATTTTGTATAAATATAAAGTTATTAAATTGTCTATTTGTTATTGTTTTTATTGGATTATTAATAAATTAACTCAAAATAATTGAAGTAATAGTTTTAATTTCATAATAATAATAAGACATAAACAAGTAATCATTACAATGATATATAATTTATAGAAAACTTGAAAACATCGTCATAAAAATTGAGAACGGAAAAAGAAACAATCTTTTATGTTGTCCTTTATTATAATAATATCAAGAAAACATTTAGTTGTATTTTGAACAAACTCAAAAAGTAAAAAAGAAAACTATAAAATAAAAATTCGTAGAACTTGATATTTGATTAGTATGAAGTTTAATAAAAATCAAACTTTCATTCGATATTATTATTTAATTGAATAAGAATACAGTGATTTTAAACATAAATGAAGAACCAAATAACATAGAAACAATTCAACAATACGATAAGAAAAATATTTGAATGTTGTTAAAAAAACGCGTTAATTAAAACATTTTGTTGGCAGTTCTTTTACATCTAAATATAATTTAATTAAATTAGATACTATTGTTTCAATAGTATAGCATTAAACAACTAACACATATTTTTAATAGATTAATGAAATGTTTATATAATTGCAAATAAAAAATTGCCTGTCATTTTACAATACTGAAACTCCCTAAAGAATATCAGATTCCCATTCAAAAAATCTCCTAAAACAACGACATCAAAGATCTTGTACTTAATTCATATTATGTTAATCATATTTTAATATACTACAATACACAAAATAAAGGATATTTCAAATCATTAATTCTCAACAAGACAAGTGATAATTATAATTTGTTAAATACATCAAGATAATTAAGGAAATTTACTTATTAGCATTAACGATGTTGACAAACTCCGGTTTCAAACTTGCACCACCAACGAGGAAGCCATCAATATCAGCACACAGAGCTAACTCCTTTGCATTAGCTGCAGTAACTGATCCTCCATATTGAATACGCACAGTATCAGCAACTTCAGCTGAGACATTATTTGCTAACCAGTTACGTAAAGAAGCATGCACTTCTTGAGCCTGCAGACATTAAAAAAAGTCAATAAAAGCAATACCGCTAAAATACTGTAATACCACTGGTAAAATAATAACCCTGTAATGCAGAAGTAATAGAATTAGTACATTACCTGCTGCGGAGAAGCAGTTTTCCCAGTCCCAATGGCCCAGACTGGTTCATAAGCAAGCACAACATTGGCCCATCTGTCACCAATAGCGGAAACCAATGCCTGAGTCTGCCTGAACACAACTTCCTCAGTCTTTCCTGCTTCCCTCTCTTCCAACGTCTCACCGATACAAGCAATCACTTTCATGCCAGAGTCAAGAGCATGTGCCACCTAAATTAACAAAAAAAATATTTATATAGAACTGTAGATTTTATAACCTAAAATTTAAGTTATACATACCTTTTCTGCTATTAGGTCATCATTTTCTTTGAAAATTGTCCTGCGTTCGGAATGCCCAATGATAACCCAGTTAACACCGACATCTTTCAACATAGCGGGTGAAATTTCACCTAAAAATTTACATATAAGAATGATTCCCACAAACTTTAGAATAAAAAAAATTGCATTACCAGTACTATCATAAATAAACTTAACCTGACTTTAGCACAAGGGCCCATATTTAACCAGACATTCGCAAAAATAAGAAAGGTTTGTATGCAGTACATAAAATGACAAATCACAGACGCAAGCAGAAATATGTTATTAGATTCAACAAGGGACTTTTTTTATATAATAGCTGATATACATCTATTAAAAGTCAAGATAATAATCATTGGCATATCAATATATTATAGAGACAATATTACCTGTGAAAGCACCCTTAGGAACTTTCCAGCAATTTTGTCCAGCAACTTGGATTGTATCAGGGACAATACTCTTCACATAAGTAAGATAGATGGAAGGAACCCCAATAATTACCTGTATACAAAAAATATTTTTAAAATCAATCATACATATAAAGACAAAAGAAACTCCACAAATACCTTGAAAAAGTATTACTAAAAATGATTAGATAAATCTCTTTTTAATACGTCAATAATATTGAAAATTACAAGTGCATAAAACAATAACATTCAAGGTCAAAATGTCATATTAACACTTTTTTAACATTAAAGTTCAGCAAGAAAGAATAAATTATATACCTCAACATCCTTATCCAAGGGACCTTTCTTCATATTGTTTATAATCTCATTTATCATGTTTTTATCTCCATTCATCTTCCAGTTACCTCCAACGACAAATTTGCGGGCCATTTTTGCGGTTAGCTAAAATAAAAAAGAAGTATTATGGACTTTGTAAAACTAAAAAAAGTTATGTAATAAGGACAATATATTATCATAAAGATTTAAAAAAACTTGTAAGACAATGATAAATATAGTACTTACACCTCTTGAATTTTTTTCAGAGTAAGATACTGCACTCGGTGAATCCAATGATCTTTCTCGTCTTTCACTTGCTCTGCAAAAAAAAAATAAGTTTGATTTCGTTTACATTACTTATGTCATTATTTTTATATCAAAACATTATCTTTGGCTATTCGCTCAAATTCAAAGTACTAGATTTTAAACCAATCATAAATAAGTAAATTCACCGTTGAACTGAGAGCTAGAACAACTAAAACTAACTTTGTATGACCTTTATGACATTGACAAAATCGATATAAACTTGCCGGTTAGACCTCTAATCGTCACTAGGGTTACCACTAAAAATCTTTGTATGTTTCTTTTTTTTAAGTACAATAGTTCTAAAAACCATCTCTGAACCTTTTATTTCTTTCCATCGGTATTTTTTAATTTAAATCCATTGCATGTAATTTACACCACCAAGTTTAGTAGATTTTGGACAGAAAACCGGAACTGAAAAAAAAAACGAAATGGGTCAGCGCCCAAAATGATAAACAAAACATTTAAGTCTCGGCTACTTTAATTATTGAATTGTCAGTTTATCTACTGCAAACAAAGAAATAATAATAATTTTAACGTTATTGATTAAAGTCAAATTTATAGCAGACAGACAATCTAACGTATTTATGTACGAAGTTTATTTACTCTTTAGGAGAAAGTCAGCAGAGAATTAACGACGCGTGGAAGGACGTCGACAATCGACATCGACAGCCCTTTTAACTTGTTTACGATTTAACGCCCATCACTATTGCTCTTTGAAAAATCTTGAACCAAGTCCTTCACATTATGTTAAAACTTAAAACTTAGTTTGAAAATTAAAAATAATACGCTTTACTAGATAGTGATTAATTACAATTTATTGCATCATTCATAAATTTACCGTGTAATTGTGCTGGAGCTGTGTTAAATCATGCGATATCAACTTTTGTCAAAAGTGAGTAAAAGCCGGCATTTCGTTTTTTCTATTTATACACATGTTTCATGAATTAAAAAGCAAAATAGTGTAAAATTCGGATAGAACTTATTTGAAAATAAGTAATGGTCTAAAATTACTTAAAGTTTCCGATACTATTTAAAAGAAATCCATTTCATTACCTAAAACAAAAAACTATCACCAACAATGTTTTTTGTTTTATGTTAATGTTAGTATTATTATTTAAAAAAAGTGCGTGGCTCTGCGAAAACATTTTAAGAAAAAGTGTACTCGTGATAAACAATAAATAAAATTCGTATTTTGTCGTCTGAAGTTAAAATGCCGCGTGGCGAATTATTCCATGTTTTATTAGTTAGTACACTCGGCTGTTTATTGAATTAGGCATTGTGAGCAAACAATAGTTATTTCAAAATGTTTCTGTTATTATGTAAACTGCTATACTATGCTATTCTTAACTAAAATCCTAGACTGAAGGTTTAATATTTTTAACCATGTTGGATTTTTTATCTTGATTAGTAAAACAATTATTGTTATTTCAAACAGTATGTATATAGCATCTTAAGTTGTATAAACCAGTTAAAAAACCCATCAATCAGGTAGCAATTGCATACATTGAGACTTAAATTTGAACATTTCTTTTACAGCTTTTTATATGTTTTTGTCTTTGTACTCAAACATTAGTCCATGCAAAGAAACAGAAAAATAATCTCATATCACAAATAAATGACATAAAGGAGTTTAAAAAGTTATTAAGGACTAAAACAAATGTGTTGGTTTTATTTGTTAATGAACCAAAGTCAACACAGGCTATTGGGGATGTTTTTAAAGATACTGCAGACACTATGAAAGGAAAAGCAACTTTAGTATCCATTGATTGTAGTAACAGGTGATAAATTTACATTGTTTAATATCTAGCTATTGCCAATGCTTTCTGTTTGTGTTTTAATCTATTAAGAATGTTTCTTGAGTCCATTTTATTTCTATAATTCTAGATTTCCATTGCTGAAATACTCATACAATAACAATGGTTAAAATATGCTCAAAAAATGTAAATGTTAAATTCCACAGTAATAATGGAACACATTTCATCACCAGCTCCCTGTATACTGTCACTGAGGGGCTCGGAGCCTACCCTAAGTTAAGAAGTTATTAGTAATTTAGTCAAAAGGAACACTTTTAACACACAGCATTTTTATATCATTACAGTGATGGCAAAAAATTGTGCAAAAAGTTAAAAGTTAGTAATGAAAAACCGTATCACATCAAACATTACAAAGATGGTGAATACCACAAGGATTACGACAGGGGAGAGACAGTGTCGGCACTTTGCAACTTCCTGCGCGACCCTACTGGTGATTTACCTTGGGAAGAAGACCCAAAAGCAACAGATATATTTCATCTCCAGGATGGTGAGGTAATATATAGTATTACCTTTTTTTAATCTGTAATAATACATTAGAACCTCTATAACTCAAACCTCGGTAACTTAAAAACCTCTATAACTTCAAAAAATAATATGTTCCGTTCCCATCAGAGCCCAAAACCTCTACAACATAGACCCTTGATAACTTAAAACCCCTATAACTTAAAATATTTTGTGTTTCCCTTAGACTTTAATTTATCGAGGTTGTACTTTATTATAAAGAGGAGAGATTTGTATTTTTGTATGAATTGAAATAATTCAAAAAGGAATGGGTTGATTTCAAAAATTCTTTCACCATTAAAAAGCTATTTTATCTGTGAGTAACATGGGCTATATATTTTTTTATTTAAACGCGTGCGAAGTCGGGAGCAATAGCTAAAGACTCCCCCTTCCATTATTACCAATTGCATTCAAAACTCTTGCACAGTAGACAGTTAATGTGTTATGAGGTCATCAACAAAACTGTGCATAATTACAGATATTTAATACAATTATCAAAATTGTTTCATATACATTATATTGTAAACTAGCTGTTGCTCCTGACTTTGCCCATTTGAAATTAAAAAATAATAGCCTATGTTACTCACTAATATCTTTTTAATGGTGAAAGAAATATAGAAGCATAGTAGTTTTTTATTTATTTCAATACATACAAGTTTATCCGCTTTATAATATTAGTATACTGTAAATGATTATGTTTTCAGGCATTGACAAAATTCTTGAAAAAGGGTATGGCGTCCTATAAGAGATCTTTGATCATGTTCTATGCTCCATGGTGTGGATACTGCAAAACATTGAAACCTGAATATGTAGCTGCGGCAGCAGATTTAAAGGTAATATATACAAATAAATGCTTTAATAACATATTTTTACAAGCATCTACACATATGATCACCTTGATTTTGGTTTTATGGAATTGAAATTAAAAAATATTTAGCTGTCTGTGTTTTTCTTTAAAAAGATAATAGAAACACCATAAATATAGAACATAGCCTAGAAAAACACAGACAGTTTATTTTTTTTATTTTAATTACACAAAATTAAAATGATTAATATAATATGAATAGAGTATGCCTGTAAAAATGTTATTGTCTGTTGAGATATTCCGGAGATAACTTCGTTACTATTGGTTTTAGGGTGAAGCTTTACTTGCTGCTATTGATGTTGCTAAGCCGGGTAATTCAAAAATAAGACAGCAATACAATATCACTGGATTCCCCACCCTTCTATATTATGAGTAAGTATTTCACTTTTACCATATTTAACAATATGTATGTTCTTCCATACTATGTTTTTCATCTGTGTAGACATATCTTATGATGTTGACCTGATTTCTGGGGTACTGAAAATGCTTGGAAATTGGCGAAAAAGTAAAGGATATGGTTGTTGTACTGACTTTAGTTATAAAAGTCCGTGTTGATAGCATCATAATATAAATGCAAAAGTTTGGATGGATGGATGTTTTTTAGAGTTTGTATTCTAAATATAGGCATAGATGTAGAGGAGAGTCTGGAAAAACACACAAGCTATTTACTTTTGTTTTCTTTAATTCCACGCGGACGAAGTCAAGGGCGAAAGCTAGTGTGATATTTTTGCCTATCTGCCAAATATAGTTGAAACACCTTTTTTCATGGTTTTGCATATCTTTATAATTATTGTCTAGTTCAATGACCACAGCACAATTTAAACTCAAAGACGCACATGAACGAATGAATGTTTGTTACAAGCAGATAACTTCTGAAAGACATCCATACATTCATCTCAAATTTCGCATTTATAATATTAGTATGAGTTACGTTAAAATTGTATTTTAACAGGAAGGGTGAGTTGAAATTCCCATACAATGGTGATAACAAACATCAAGCGATAGTAGATTTTATGAGGGATCCAAATTCACAAGCACATCAGAAAAAAAACGAAGTAGCCGATGAAAGTTGGTCACAGGATTCAGATGTAGTACATTTAACGGGTAAGGAATTTGATATTTAAAATAATATAGTTAAACAATATATAACTACTAACAATGTAGTTTATTTAAACAATTTCTAAATAGTAAAAAAAAAACCAGCCTGATGGAAAAAAAAATAGTAAAATTAATGAAATGACTTGTCCATTGACACCTGTATTTGGAGATGCATTTTAATTGATAAAACAGGGAATCTATAGAAAGAGGATATCCCCTCCCTTGCTAAATCTATCTCTTCTTCCCATCTAACATAAGAAAAGGTTGGATAAGAAAGGAATAAATTAGGCCTTCGCAAAGCAAAATCATCAGAGTGTACATGAAATATCTTCCATTTACGAAAGTAGTATTCATACTAATATTGTAAATGTGAAAGTTGGATGGATGTTTGTTAGAGTTTGTAGTCTAAACAGCTAAATGGATTAACATGAAATTCAGTATAATGTAGAGTATAGTCTGGAAGAACATATAGGTTACTTATGTTTTTATTTTAAATTCTACACAGACGGAGCCGCGGGCCAAAGCTAGTTTTTATAATTTTCTTAACGAAAGTATCTTGGTACAAATACCACAATTACAGCACATATATTTTTTGTAGGATTTACTTGGTTTATTTTTTTCTTCTATCACAATAACTTTACTTTCAAGTGACATTAATGACAGTTTCATATTTGTTATTAATCAAAATCTGTAAATTATAACAATGGTGTTTTGTAATATTTTTAGTAATCACAAAGTAATACATTGTTTTCAACATAGTATTTCAAATATATCTATGCATTCATTGAAATATTGTAAGTATTGTAAATAATTTAATTTGTTATGCTTCACACTAGGCTAGTAATTTAGTTGAGTACTGAAGTAGTTAAAATACTCTTGTCTAAATTATTTTTATTGTATACAAAACTAAAAATTTATTGTTTAGACATGTTTAGTTTCTAGACTACTCGATACTCTAGTAAATGCTAACATAATGTGGATAAGACATTATTGATATATTCAGTAGAGTCTTATCTATAAGTTTACAATGTTATACCTGTAGCAAATCTTTTATCTCTTTTTTGTAAAAGTAAAAGAAAAGGATGAAACATGTTTAATACCAACAATTTACTCTATTTAAAGAGGTAAAAAAACGTACAGAGGAAGAACAAAGGGTGGAGCTTGTTGTAATTTTGTTAAATGTTTTATAACATATCAATACAACATGAGGTGCAATACTAAACTTGACAACAAACATAAAATAACTGTAAAGAAATTACTGGTGAAAAAAAAATCATTCACTATATCTAGTCTATTTATATTTTACTTTTTACTTCATACTAATATTATAAATGTGAAAGTTTAGATGGATGGATGGATGGATGTTTGTTAGAGTTTGTAGCCTAAACGGCTGAACAGATCTCGATGAAATTTGGCATAGACGTAGAGGATACTCTGGAAGAACACATAGGCTACTCACTTTGTTTTTTTTTAATGCCACCTAGACGGAGTCACGGGCGAAAGCTAGTATATATATTTTCTTAAATTTGGGTTTATTAATTTTTATCCTTACTAAAGCTTTTATATTACAGTGGACACGTTCGATAGTGTATTAGCGAATGTAGAACATGCTTTAGTGGTTTTCTACGCCCCTTGGTGTGGACACTGCAAGAGAATTAAACCAGAGTTCGAGAAAGCAGCCGCCAGGATAAATAATGAAAATGTATGTATTCAAACTTTTATATATGTCGCAATCAGAAGAAGAAATCAATTTGAATTTAAGTCATAATTAGAACACGAGCGCCGCCAAGCGACTTTCGTGAGAACTTAGATTATTCTAAAATAGGGATCATTGTTTGAAGGATATGAGCTTGGTAGGTCGATGATATCCTGACCGAGTATTGTGAATGTGTCCCTGCAATCAGACTTTCCCTGGCCGCCCACATGTCATCTCGACTAGTAGTCGTTCTGATATCGTGCTAGCTCAAGCCGACATATATATTTAGTTAATAGATTATAGTGTTAGGCGTAACAAATTTAATTTGTGGCATTTGACACACTTTAATATTCAGTTGGAAATAGTTTATTTGTAAATTTCAAGGTACATTTAATGTGAATTTCTTGTGTGTGTGAATTAAACTACTTGTTTTAATAAATGTGCTTATAATTTAAAAAAAAAATGGGTAAACAGAAAAATGGTATTATTTAAAATGTACATTTTTTACAATACAAGCATTTCAAGTTATTGAATCATTTTTTTCCTTTAATATTAAGTTAAATTTACACAGAAGTATTATATATCATTTTCATTATCTTCATAAAAAAAAAAACATTGTTATACTTTTTGGTAATAACTAAGTAATCTAAATTCTATTTAATCGACTTATAGACATAACCTAGATAAACATGTAGGCTGTGATTTTTTATTCCCTGCGAACAAAATAGCAGTCAGAAGCTAGTATAAGTATTTTTTTTTATTACAGATCCCAGGTGTTTTAGCAGCTGTAGATGCAACTGTGGAATCTAGTTTGGCGTCGCGTTTTGGTGTTAAAGGTTACCCAACATTAAAATACTTTAACAAGGGCCAATTTAAATATGACGCGGGTCATGCTAGACAGGAGGAACAAATCGTTGACTTTATTAAGGTAAAAATTACATTTTTTTAATAATATGAGGTGGCAAAAGAGCAAGCGGCTTGAATCCACCGAAATGGAAAGCGACCGCTGCCCATAAACGTCCGCAATTGCAGATGCGTTGCCTACCCTTATCCGACGGAGGAGGAGACGCACATTAAGAGGACATTTCCCCTTTCTGTGCGGCTCCTCGACCGTAAAGTCCACTTTTCTATTTCATTCTTACCTCTTAAGAAAAGGGTGGAAAGGGAAAGGGACTAAAATTAGACCCCCGGCACCACACTCATCAGACGAAACACGGAATTGCTTCCACTTCACGGACATTAATTAATGATGGGTTTCTAAAGTTTTCCCTTTTTTTTTATCTTTTTATATTACCTAGTGATTCCTTAGTGTTAAATTGACCTCTTCAACAGCGTATTACTAAAACTACGTAAAACTAATTTAGTTGAAATTCAAGAATCAAAAACACGAACGAATTGGTCGAAATTAAGTAAGAAACCGACCATAATATAATTAAATCCTCGATAAGGCCGAATACTGAAATGAACACTTCATTTATTATGCCACTTACATTCTGACAGGTGTCAAAGTTTTATTGAATTGCAGTTTACAATTACAGTTTATTTATATGTTGTTTCAGTATTGGGCCGTATGTCTTAAATTTTTTTTATAGTTAAAATATGGAAATATTTTGATTTGTGAAATATTTAAAAGGTGGAAATTAAAATAATAGCACTCAAAGTCTAATGGGTTATTAAAGATGGTTTTGGTACTTGTTAGTAGATGTTTAACCGCTTAACAATTTTGATTGCAAAAGAGGTCTAAAAATAATTAATTTTGTGTTTGTTTTATTTAGAATCCGCAAGAACCGCCTCCTCCACCGCCACCAGAAAAACCCTGGTCTGAAGAAGAGGGTCAAGTTAGACATCTTAGTGAATCAACATTCAAAAATACCCTCCGGAAAATCAAACATGCAATAATAATGTTCTACGCACCTTGTAAGTTCTTTACACTATCTGTTTAAAATTATAATAACACTATCATATTATCTACTGTAAAACTATCAAATTTTAAATCCACACAATAATGAAAGATGTTGCCATTGGCTAACAATTACAGTTACCAGCAATCTTCTTTGCTGCTTGCGGCTTTGTAGTTTTTGTCCCTTTGCCATATAATTTTTTTTCAGTTCATTCACCCTTTAATAAATAGCGTACAAATATATAGCATACTAGCTTTCGCCCTCGAGTCTGTCCGCTTGGAATAAAAAAAAAACAGAAGTAAGCACCCTATGTGTTCTTCCAGAATAACTTCTTTATATATACCAAATTTCATAGAAATCCATTCAGCCGATTAGGCTACAAACTTAACAAACATTCATCCATCTAAACTTTCATATTTATAATATTGGTATGATAGCGTGTAGTAAATGTAGCGCTTTTTATTAATATAAGAATAATAATAACAGATGTAGAGCATAGTGGGGATGAACATATAGGCTATTTACTTTTTTTCCACGCGGACGGAGTCACGGGCGAAAGCTAGTTTTAATAAGACTTTGCATAATAAGTATTGAATTATTTCCAGGGTGTGGACATTGCAAGAGTACGAAACCAGAATTCTCCGGAGCAGCGGAGACATTCTCTGATGAATTGTCAGTTGTATTTGGTGCTGTGGATTGTACAGTTGAACAACAATTGTGCTCTAATTATAAAGTGCGAGGATATCCAACAATTAAATACTTTAGTTATTTCAATAAATTAGTAGAAGATTATAGTGGGGGACGGAAGGTAGGTAGATTTTTTAACATAATTAAAACGGCCACATACTTTTAGTTACAGTTTTTAATTTTAATTGTTCAGGTAAAACTGAGCATGTGTAGAACAACAATATGTTGAAATTATCAACAAAATATTACCATTACTCATATTTTAGTAAATATTGTGACAATTTGCTTCTTTGGTCACTTTTATTATAGAAAAAGTATTTAAAATATCGGAAGTAATCATTTGTTAATCTATCTATATATATATGAAAAAGAAACCACAGTTTTTTTAGTTATGTAAAAGATCATTAAATTCTTGGAATTTAACGGAACTACTACTGCCATCTATGTTCTTTTAACGAAATTATAGTGTTGTTTTAAAAATCATACCATAGATGGCGCTATTTTATATTTTTCTTAATCTTGAAATGAAATCAAATAATAACTGTATGTAAAATTGTATTTTTTTTAGAAAGAAGATTTTGTAACATTCATAAACAGTCAGCGAGGAAAGCATGAGACTCCTCAGAAGCCTAAAACAAGTCAAGAAGCAGGTTTCGGTGTAAATGTGCAAATGGTCAATGATGACGACTTCCATTCCGTTATTGCATCTAAAACACCGACATTTATTATGTTTTATGCTACATGTAAGTAAATACGTTATTATTTTAGTAACGCAAAAAAAATCGAGTAATAAATGTAGCTGTTACTCAATTCAAATCCTATTTAATACAAACAATCAAATCCCTTTTTTTATTATTAAGAAGAAATTATTTAATTTAAAGCTTAGCTAATTTATGTAATTGTTATTGGACCTTTTTTGTTATATGTAATACTAGCTGTTGGTCGCGATTTCGTCCGCGTTAAATTAAAAAATAAAGCCTATGTTACAGATAACCTAGCTTTTTAAAAAGAATTTTTGAATTAGGCCCAGTGTTGAGTTATTTCAATACATGCAGAAATACAAATCTATCCTCTTTATAATATTAGTCTATACTAATCTATATTAATTTTAATCTATATTATTAAAATTAATATAGATCTATATTAATTTTAATCCATATTAAAATTAATATAGATTATTCAAATTAATATAGATTTCTTTTGGTGTCTTCCTTTATAATCTAATTTATAAATGTATATAATTATTTGCAGGGTGTGGTCATTGTTCGACAGTGAAGCCAGTGTACAGTCGACTGGCTACTAAAATGAAGTCAATAGGTGGTCCAGTACTGGTCGCTGCAGTGGAAGCGTCAGATAATCCTAAAGTCGCTGATTACGCGAAAATAGAAACTTTACCTACATTTAAAATATACTCCAATGGTGAACTTCTAGCTGATTACGATGGAGACAGAACACCTGAAGATTTTGAACAATTCTGTATGTCGCATGCTAAAATTAAAGATGAACTGTAATCGAATTGATGTATGAGCTTCCATTTGTCAGTTTCATATAATTCTTGAGTCTCTAGCGATTTTAATAATACTCGGGATCCGACATATGGATAAGTAACCGTTGAGTTGGCAAATGGTTTAGTAGACTACTCTAATCGTGTGTGTGCCAACTCAGACCCTATATTCGGCTGTCAAATTATTTGTCAATTTATAAACTGGTTTAAACCTATTTGTAATAATTTTGTATTTGTAATATTGGTATTTGTACCAGTAATATATTTACTTGGTTTACGACCTGTCCACCAAATTGTAATCATGTACAATATTTGATGAAAATATCGGATTTTACTCTCTTATCTGACAGTGAAGTCATTTTTAAGCTATCTGAGACTCTATCAGTCAGTGATGGGACAGGTCCTAAGATTACTAAATTCGTATGTTTTGATAGCAGAGACTTAAATTGTATTTGGTAAAACAAGTATCATCACAAAGTAAGCTTTATTAAAACCTTAGTTCAATGATTTTTAATTTAATATTTTTAATTTAGTATTTTTAACGTATTCAAAACTTTATTAATGCAAATTGTGAAATAACATGATTTGTTTGAAATTAATCAAAATAATCAGATATATGTATAATTTTATTTAATTCAATTGCATATTGAATATATTATTTTCAATGGTGATAAAATTAATTGATTTTATATATTTATGTATATCTTTTTTGTAATCTCAAAATTGCTTTCTTCTTTTGAAACGTTACGGTAAAAAATATTTTGTTATTTAAGCAAAAGTTAGTACTTTTATTGAAATTAAATATTATTAAAATATTGTTTTGAATGATGTGGGATACATATTTTTGCACATTATTTTTTTTGCACATTACATATTTGCATATTAAATAATTTTGTACTTCAAAGGCAATCATATCAGGAGGAAATTGTTTTTTGTCATTTTTCTCTTTATTAAAGTAAAAGTTATGTATGTAAATTTTATTTCGAGATTTATAAGTAAATTTGTATGAGCTTGCAAATTACAGATTCAAATATTGATTATGCTTCATTTTTTTTCACGTGTCTGCTTTTTCATGAGTAATTTCTGTTAGAAAATAATGAACTGCTTATAAACAAATTATTGTACTAATTGTATTTTAAAGTGCATTTATTTTTTTAGGTATTATTTCTTTATTTATGTATGTTAAAATATGCTATCGTTTCTTGGCGTAGACAGGGATAGTAATATTCATTTCTCAAAATTTGAACACATATTAACAGTGAATTGTTTGTTATCATTTACTATTGTTTCAATTAATATGGATTTTTTGTTTTTGTAATTCAGTCTTTCAAAAAAAAAGTTAAAAAATACACTTAACTAAGTTTTTCTCTCAAAAAAAAATTCTCTTTGTTTTCTAATTTTTATATTTTTAATGATAAAAATTATCTTTTTATTAAAGTTTTTTTATGTTATAATCTCTGCCTAACCATAAACACTTATTTTGCCTTTTTATGTTACTTACAAAATTGATATTAGTTCGAAAGCAAGGGTTTTTGAATTCCTGGTCATATAACTTAATTGTAGAAACGAAATATATCATATTTCACATTTACTTATTCGCATATTATGTAGTAATATAAAATTTAGATTAAAACAGACAATAATCATTAATATAAAATATATTAATATGTTACTCCTAGTAAGTAAATTGACTTAAAACGATATCATATCGAGTAATATTAAATATATAAAAATATCAAATAATCTGCAGCACAAAGGCGTTATACTTATCAAAGCGTAGTTAATATAAAAATGTATGTAGATAAAATATTCTCTTTATAACTAAAAGAGAATAAATTACAAGTCAATTGTTAAAGTACATTTACTGTCAAAATCATGGAAAAACAATCTCATTTTCTTTGTCGAACAGTGGAGGAGGTCAATATGTTTCGGGCTTCCAGTACTTATGTAATAGCATTGTTACATATCCTAAGAAATGATTGCATATTGTTTATAAATTTCCTCCGCACTCACAGTCGGTACAACTGAGGTACACTCAGTGTAGATTTATCAATCAAATAATTAATTTAGGTGTTGAAAAATTATAAACAATATGCACTTTTTTCTGAATTGTTTCTATATTGATGTAACATTAATATTGTAGTTGATTAAAATAACATCTAAATATATTATAGTTGTTTATATCGCTATATATTTGTATCGAGCTATATATATTTAACTATATTTTGAATAAAAATTATGTAACATTTTATATTAGATTTTTATTTTTACCCTGCCTCATATTAGAATTTTATTATTGTTTTTATTCGGATTATTAAATTAATAAAACATTGTCACTGTATACTGAATGTCCTCGAAAATTAGTCATTAAAAAGTTATTCCGAAACTAAGTACAGCGCCATCTAGTGAGGATACAAAAATCAATTACAAAGCTCTACCGAATTGCAAAGCCTTGTTTGCATACTTTTCGGGAAATTAAGATAGATTGACGTGGAAAACAAAAACGTCTGTGGGGTCTTTGTAAAGTGGACTTGGTTCCACTTAAGCACATTATAACATTACTGAGTTTCGTCCGCTTGGAGTTAAAAAAAAAAACAAAAGTAAGTATAATTTCTTCCAGACTACATCTATACAATATTCATCAAAAACCGTTCAGCCGTTTAGGCTACAAACTCTACTTTAAGCTAGTAAGAAAATATTTAGTAATCGTTGTTGAAATTAAATTGGAATACAAAATGTAGCCCATGTTACAGATAAATTACCTTTCTAATGAAGAAAGATTTTATAAAATTGGCCCAGTATTTTTGCGTGAGACAAATACAAAAAAAAAATCTTTCCTGTTCATAATATTAGTATAGATATCTGAGGTAAATACCTGCAGGAGGTCTCCGTTTAGATTCTTAAACCCTTTAACATTATAAATGAATTCAGAATTCCTAATCCTATTATGATAAATTAAATACATTTTACGAACGTGCAAGTTTCTTTAAACACTCTTTTTGTCAATTTTATGCATGTTTTTTCCGTATTTTCCTCTACCCGACGAGAACGCGTGAAAAACTTTAGATTGCTACCAGCAAACTTTTGTTAAAGTAATTAAAAATTGTCCACATTTTTCTAGAATTGTACAGAACAATTTAAAGTTTCAATTACATTCAACCAACGTGGAAATGCTTTGTTTAGCGGTAATAATAATTTGGTACAGGTTTTAAAAAGTAACTAAGCGAAACATGTGTTAATATTTCTAGTAAGTTAAAAGGAAAAAAACCAGCATTAATATAAATCGTGTTAGCTTTTTAACTATTTTTGATGAATTCTGTATTCTTAAAAGTTATTTGTTAATCTGTGCTATTTATCAATACATTTATCTTTTTTTAAAACAACTATATTGTTAGGAAAATATTAGAAAACGGAAGGAATAGTGGGGGGTAGTTTTATAAAATATACGGCAAGGAGTGGCTCGGGTGCTGAGTTGCAGTCTCGGCGCTCAGTCGCCAACAAGCTCAGTGTTTTCCTAGTTATCACCACGGAACGTTCCGATATCTTTGCGTTGTCACATTGGAGTTCAGTTTATGTGTTTTAAAGAAATTTACAAGCATTGTTAATATGACCGTCCGTCTATATTTTAAAGGAAGTCATTTGTGTCGAAATATCTATCAATCGGAAGTATTACGGTTAGTCCCGATTTTAGCACTATTAGGGCCATGTGTGCGATTCATATTACCTTCTGTCTACCATGGCTGAAGGGGAGGGGGGGGGGGTTTAAATTGCTTTTGTAGGGCAGTCATTCACCGACTTTGACGCCCCCGTTGTCTAGCGCCCTGGGCGGCCGCCTAAACGCAACTTAAAGTCGGACCTACCAATGTATAAATGAACTTCACGTTAATACTACTTAAATTAACTTGATTGTAATAAATAAACTTAATTTTTAGATGAGACATCATCACAAATGTCTTTGATTTTTAATTACGATGAGTTTTAAAAGTAAAAATGTTTTAAATGTTACGACGAGAGAGTCTCTAGTAAGCGCTGCTATCAGAAGAATGCGATAGTCGCGAAACACAAGATAAAATTTTTAAACTTTTTACAAAGCAAATGTTAAGACCTATTTATAACTCAAAGAAAACATTTCAACTGAAACAAAGATAACAACTTTATTTTGTTATGATCACAGTTCGATAATAATTATTAAGGAAAATATATAACCGTCGATTTTCACTATCGAAACACTTCTAAATAAACATCTTACTATCTCTACATATTCAAACACAATGAGAGTGATAATAAGTTTTTGTACAGGTGTTTTCGAGTTGAAAACCTACTGATTTTCAGCATTATACAGTTCCTCGAATTTCTCTCAACGGTAAAGTTATCTCAGAGCTAGGTTTCGGAGTAAATATTTCCCTGGCGGGTGCTTAAAGTTTTAAGTTAAGAATTTATGTTACTGTGAAATTCCACTGCCTAAATACTTATATTGAAACATGTAAATTAATAAAAATAATAATTTTAATTTAATTTTAAAGAGTGGTAGGGATTTGTCATAATAAATAACAAGGTACTAATAATTATGTGTTACTAGTAAAAAGTAAATGTAAATTTAATATATAATACTATTCGATTAAACAGGATGATTCTTAACGGACGGATCAACGTCTTTGCGGAATTATAGGATCTCAAAAGCTACCGTTTAAGCGCAAAGTACGTTGCCCGGTTTTCTGTAATTTTAAAGATTATGATTTTTTAACAAAAAAGGTTAATTACATCCCCTCTAACTACACAAAGCCGTTGATCCGTCCGTTAAGAATCACCCTGTATAATAGAGTACGTTTTCATTTCAAAGATCCAAGTATTTAACTTGACCTTACAAAGCAAAGACGGCGCATAGCAAAGCTCGGTTCGCTAGTTTTATCTTCATAAGTTGAACTAACGTCCGCAAACTTTGTAGCAATGTTAATGACTTCCTAATCGTCGGTTACAAGTCGTTTAGTAAAGCTTTTGCGCTCGTTAAACTTTAATGAAGTGTATTTTTTTTATATGAGAAGGGGGCAAACGAGCGGCGGGAACACAAAGGTGGTCAACGACGCCCATGGACATCCGCAACACCAGAGGAACTACAGATGCGTTGCTGGCCTATGAGGAAATTGTAGGCTCGCTTCTTGAATTGTGTTCAGGTAATCTCAAACTATCGAATACCATGGTACAAGAGATAAGTCATTAATTACGTAAAGTAAACTTATAAGACCAAGATCAATATTTGATAATTGAGTTTAAATCGAAAATTATTTTAAATTTGTTCGAAGAAAGTTCGAAAATTTTTTTTTCGAATAATTTCGGCCTTAAAAATTACATCATCCAACAAATGCTTAACTATTTGAAGTAATAAGTGTTGTTCTAAGTTAATTTGATATTAATTAAATCAGTATTTAAAAGCTTAATTTGATATCTAGACTAGATTCTTATAGGAAAAATCTAGAGTAACTCTACAAGTGTATATAAGTTACCTTGATACTTTAAGCACAATGTGATCAAAGAACAGGTTGAAGATATATCGTTTATTGTCTTTAATATGAAAAGGCTTCTTTGATTAAAGGTGCATTATAGGGAGGTCGTGCGATAGGTGCGGGGTAGCGGTGGGAGGCGACGCCTGCCGTTGGGAGCGGGAGCGGTGCGGGTTCCATCAGTCCGAGCTAGAACCTCGTCGCGAAAACTCGTCGTGACAGCCTGGGCTATACAGAAAACTTTTAAACGAATAATACATAATTATTAAATATAAATTAAACCTTAAGACTATATAATTTACTAACTAATTTCATTTTATTATAATTTTTTTTTGAGATATAATTTGGACATCGCCGTGATAAAGTTTCAAAAACTTTACAAAGTTTACCAACTTTAGTGCGCGTGCATAAGCTACGGTAATGGTTGAGTGAAGATCTCAATAAACCGGTAAGTTGAACGGACATTACTTGAAAATGATATTTAAATGTTAACGCGTGTTTTTTTTGTCCTGGATACAATGAGAACGTCGGTTAAGAATTTAATCTACTTCTAATTAAGGGTCAAGTCTAAATATTTACCTTGGAAAAGATCTATCACTTGTAATACTTGAGAATTAAAGATTCTCATTGTATTCTAACACGCGCACGGTTATTGTCTCAACATTAAGTTAGCGTCAATTATCAATGTATTCATTTGATATACATATAAAACAGTAACACTACTCGTATTGTGTCATTGTTTTTTAATGAATGTGCAATTGTGCATTTTATAGCGGCTACAGATAAATAATACGATAGTCTTAAGTAATGGAAATATTAAGTAAAGTTCTTCCATTTAATAAAAAAAAAAGTTTTTTTGTCTCTGTAATTGATATTAATAACTATCGTTTTGGTTACAAAACTAAAAAATAGATAGTTCTTTGTCAAAGTTCGAAAATTTTTCAAAAACTGCAATTTTTTGTATGAACAAAAGATTGTTTAAAATTTTGTCTTCAAGTTTCTTTGTTATCTCCTGTAGCTGATCTAATTTGATCGGCGTTCGTCAGGTAATTAGAGGGTTTAAAGGGCAGCCTTTTTCGAAGTGCAGATGTCCTTCAAAGGAATAAAATATCTCAAATCCAGCCACACATTTTTGCAAGGGTTATTCTTGTTTGGACATACCTGAAGTTATTAAAAGAAGAAACGGGAGCGGGGTTTATTCTCAAATGCACATAAACCATAATTGTTACATTTTGATTGGTAGAGATTTTTACACGAAACCGGTTTGAGTTATTTATAGATATTCAAATTTAACTATACATTTTTAAACATTTCTAACATCGAATCGTTTAATCAATGAATTATAGAGTTGATTCATTATCTTTTGACATTTTTTATTTAAAAAAATACCATCCAGTCTAACTTAAAAATTGAACAAAAGGATTCCTACGCGACTGTTAGTCGCAGACAAAGCTCTACTGTATTATTTCAAATGAATCAGCGTGTATTAGTAATACAAGTTACGAAAGACTTTATCCTTGAGCAAGGATCATTACGTCAGGAATTCCGTTAACGGACCTCTTAACGATTGGCTCTCATATTAACCACAGAATATTACTTCTTTACTCGATATTTTAGAACGGAAAAAATACTACCTGTTCAACTTTAAAATGCCTTTAACATTTTTTGTTAATTCTTAAATAAAAAAAAATGAAACAATGTTTTGCATACTAATTGACCTTTTAAGAACGTCACCAGCCGAAGTTCTGGGGATTAAGGGAGGGGGCGGTTATATATTCATCTTAAAAATATATAACAAAATTTAAAATAAAAAATCTTGTTCAATATAAAAAAAAAACATAAATATAACTTTACATCTAATCTTCATTAGAAATTCGTCCACAAAATTTTAAAAGGTGATGGGAGATATAGATATAAAAATGCGTTACGTAACTTTGTCATTACGAAAAAAAAGAGTTGGCGAGTCTAGGATTCTGTTCAACATTAATGACGTCACTTCGACCGCCCACCGATTCTAGAAAAAGGTGAATCTAAAGACATTACAAATATTCTTTTAAAAAATGTTTCGGCGTAAATTACCTGTTAAAGAAAACAAATAGATGTCAAAGCCAACAAAAAATCACCGTAAGTTCGCGCTAGAAAACATTGCTATTAGCGATTATTAGCGCCAATGGCATAATGGTTAGAGTTACGGATTTCCGATTCGAGGGTTCGAATCCCGGCAGTCGACTGTCCTAAACCATATCCTAACACTAGCCCAGAGTTAGAAAGATATAAGAAATATTAGTATTTTAACAAAAATCTTTCAATAATAAAAAAAAAGCTGAGGTTTCATACAGATAGAGAAAGAAAACATGTTTAACGTGAATGTTTTGGTAATGTGAATTCAAGTTTAAACATCAAAGTAACCGCGTCGTTGAAATCTTTAGTATTAGCATATTCCCAACTTAAATGTATTCATGATTTTGACGACGTAAGTGGAGATTATTATTTGAATTAAAAATAAAAATTATTGATTTTATAATACTATTTATAAATAAGATATTTTTCGTTATTAATTTAAATATTCGCGGTTAAATTTGTCACGAAATCGTGTAAAAATATTTAAACAAACATCTCAAACTATGAAAATACATCACTTGTAGCTTTTATTCGAAATTGTAAACTAGATAAATGTATCTTGTCTAATAGTTCTCAATTACCAAAGAAATATTACCTCTAATGATATATTAATGCCCAAGTAATGCAGAAATGCGACTACAGTTATCTAGATGTAACTTAATATTACGTTGGTAAAAACTAATCTAATCATTTACACCTGAGTGTTGACAAGAAAATTATTAAACTAATTAGGAGAAAAAGACTTTTTTATTTTATATTTTAACACAGAGATCACAATTCTGGCATATGATATCGTTTTGTCACTGTGCCGCAACATTTTACTGCTTTTTAAAAAACTCATTTATGCAAAGACTTTAAAAAACGACTTTGTTAACGCTAAAACCATAGACGGACTAATTGACACTGACTCTACTTGCTACTGACGTGCAGTATTGATTGATTAAAGGAATTAATTTATTTACGCGAAGCGAGACGAAGCACGCACTGTTAATCGTATTAACGTAGAAATTGTTTTTTTAAACATGATGAGTTTCTTTCAGATTATAACGCATATAGGATTTTATCCCAAAGTTAACATCTAAGCCATAGTCAACAACCGTTAACTCGTGTTGGTTCACTTCAGACATATACTTCAAATTCTGCGCAGATACATGAAAGTGGCATCACGATTTTTTCCTTCACTAAAGAACCTCGGGTAAATGTTCATAATTATGAAATGGTAAAATCCATTGGTACACGGTGGGATTGAACCTTCGACCTGCAGATTTCAATCAAGTGCTAACCACTGAGCCACCGCCGCTAGTACCATACGCGCTGTGCATTTATTACTAACTTTGATCACTGTATAAAATTGAACTAGAAACTTGTAATATTACTATTCATGAGACCATGACCTTATTGAAAATATTCAACTGTTCCAGACTGGCTATTTCCATGTTGGATTTATTTGTCTAATATAGACTGAGACCCTGACTAACCATTAAGTCTTCTAATATTGATGACCAATGCTAACGTTGCTAAGTATATTCGACCTTAGACAAGCATTAGAGAATTGCATTGAATATTTTAGTCGCTTCTAAAATGCTCTCCAAATAAACCGCTCAATCAAACTGACTTGCAAAAATGGATTAAAACCGATCATGAGTTGATTAAGTTTGATTCCTTAAAATAGCAACGTGTTTGTTTCGAGCTTTCGTTTTAACTTGATAAAACTTAAGAGCATTTACTTAGTTGAGAATTTAGATTTAAATAAAGAAGTTAATAGAAATTACGTTTATTTAAAACTATCTTTCGCCCGCGACACAGCCCGCATGTAATTTAAAAAAAAAACTAAAGCATGTAACCTATGTGTTCTTTCAGACTATACTCGTCTATGCCAAATTTTATCAAGATTCCTTCAGCCGTTTAGGCTACAGACATTAACAAACATCCATCCATTCATCGAAACTTACGCATTTATAATATTAGTAAGAAGTAAGATAAGATAAGATTGTCTTCGATGAATTGAAAAATTATACCTTTCTTCTTCATTATTATGTTTATTTTTTAACAGTGGTAGTGCCCGCTTTAACATCTTCGCACGAATGGGTCGGCTCGCCCGGTGTAATACCACGACCACACAGAAAACAGGCGTGAAGTGGAAGCAATTCCGCGTTTCGTCTGATGAGTGTGGTGCCGGAGGCCTAATTTTAGTCCCTTTCCCTTTCCACTCTTTTCTTAAGAGGAAAGGGTGGGAAGAAAAAGTGGATTTGACGGTGGAGGAGACGCATAGATAGGGGAAATGTCCTCTTTAGGTGCTTCTCCTCCTCCGTCAATGAAAGGTAGGCGACGCATCTACAATTGCGGATGTTTATGGGCAGCGGTCGCTTTCCATTTCGGTGCATTCAGGTGGCCGCTTGCTCGTTTGCCACCTTATATTATAAAAAAAAAACGTATTTCAATGTTTAGGTAACATTTACGAATAACCGTTATATACCTCCTGCTCTCAAACATTCCAATTAAGTGAGATATAAATTCTGAAAGCCAATGCATAACGAATTCGGTAAGATAAAGTCGTAAATTTTATTTTTCACAATTAGGTGCCTTTGAAGTTATCAATTAGAATTACTTATTTCAATACTATTTCGATTTGTAATTTAAATGTAAACCCCCAAACATTTGGCAGCGATAACCGCTCGGTATCTTCACAAACCTTTTTTACATATAATTTGCAAAGAAGCGAGCGCATAATTCGCCGAAAAAGAAGCGATCGCTGCCCATAGACATCCACAATTGAAGACAGTCCTTTCAAAATTTATTAATTTTCATTTTTGGTTTATCGCGGTTGCTATTCGGATTAAAACATCAGTTTTTCATACAGTCATACTAATTTATTAATCGTTAGTTAAATAAAAGTCATGTCATGTCTTTATAAAGCCAAAGCTCTACAGAAAATTAACTCAGATATTTCTGAAACCTTGTAACTTATTGCAGATATCTACAGGCAACAAGGGCGTCGCCAACCGGTGGCCAATGGGGGAGGGGGGATATAATTAGGGAATGTCTAGTAGCAAAATCTTTTGGGGATTGTAGGCATATAAGTATTTTGAAGTAATATCTATTTTTCATTTTTAGATTGTCTAGGGGAGGGGGGCATTTGACCCACTTTCCCCCTATTGGCGATGTCCACAGTGGGCAGTATCACTTCGCTATTTTAGTGATCTCAGGTAGGCGGTCGCTCGTTTGCAATAGTGTATTATAAATAGTGGCCCTTGATCAAAATATTTTCATAACCTACTATTTTCGATGATTCTCAAACAAGTAAAACAGTAACACTTTCGAACGAAC